TTCATATACATATAAACGCCAAATAACCAAGCCTCATTAATGCTGGTGAGAGATGGTGCCCTAACAGCACATGCCCTTTGTGTTTGTGTACATATATTAATTTATGAAAAAAACATGCAGGAAACTAACAAATAAATAAGGAATAGACTAGTATGGACGACAAACTCAAAATGGGTTTGCTTGTGTGAGATTATGCAACATTAGGCGAAATTAGGCGACATTAAGCGAATAGACTGTCAGTCAAAGTTCAAATCTTAGGTGCACATGGGCGAAAGTGGGCGAAATTAGGCGACATTAGGCGAAATTAGGCGACATTAGGCGACCTTGGCCCCCAATGTAGGCCTTACCAATGGTACGGATCGACAACATTTTCGAGGCCTCCCTTAGCCACACACAAGCTTGAGCACCAGATTCACGCATCGACAAATCATATTTTCCGATCGTGAATTCCTAGTCTATCCGTTACCAATCGTACGGATCGACAACATTTCTGAGGCCTCACTTAGCCACACACAAGCTTTAGCACTAGATTCACGGATCGACATTTCATATTTTCCGATCGTGAATTCCCAGTCCATCCGATTCCAATGGTACGGATCGACAACATTTTTGAGGCCTCCCTTAGCCACTCGAACGCTTGGGCACTAGATTCACGGATCGACAATTCATATTTTACGATCGTGAATTCCCAGTCCATCCGTTACCAATGGTACGGATCGACAACATTTTCGAGGCCTCCCTTAGCCACACACAAGCTTGAGCACCAGATTCACGCATCGACAAATCATATTTTCCGATCGTGAATTCCTAGTCTATCCGTTACCAATCGTACGGATCGACAACATTTCTGAGGCCTCACTTAGCCACACACAAGCTTTAGCACTAGATTCACGGATCGACATTTCATATTTTCCGATCGTGAATTCCCAGTCCATCCGATTCCAATGGTACGGATCGACAACATTTTTGAGGCCTCCCTTAGCCACTCGAACGCTTGAGCACTAGATTCACGGATCGACAAATCATATTTTCCGATCGTGAATTCCCAGTCCATCCGATTCCAATGGTACGGATCGACAACATTTTTGAGACCTCCCTTAGCCACTCGAAAGCTTGAGCACTAGATTAACGGATCGACAAATCGATTAATCATATTTTCCGTTCGTGAATTCCCAGTCCATCCGATTCCAATGGTACGGATCGACAACGTTTTTGAGACCTCCCTTAGCCACTCGAAAGCTTGAGCACTAGATTCACGGATCGACAAATCGTTTAATCATATTTTCCGTTCGTGAATTCCCAGTCCATCCGATTCCAATGGTACGGATCGACAACATTTTTGAGACCTCCCTTAGCCACTCGAAAGCTTGAGCACTAGATTCACGGATCGACAATTCATATTTTCCTATCGTGAATTCCCAGTCCATCCGATACCAATGGTACGGATCGACAACATTTTTGAGGCCTCCCTTAGCCACGCGAACGCTTGAGCACTAGATTCACGGATCGACAATTCATATTTTCCGATCGTGAATTCCCAGTCCATCCGTTACCAATCGTACGGATCGACAACATTTTCGAGGCCTCCCTTAGCCACACACAAGCTTGAGCGCCAGATTAACGCATCGACAAATCATATTTTCCGATCGTGAATTCTCAGTCCATCCGTTACCAATCGTACGGATCGACGTTCAGTCTTTACCAATCGTTATGACTATACAAGTGTTCCATCCGTGCCCAAAATTTCACGAAACGAACGATCCGTATGCATGCGACAGTATTGGACAACCATCGCCCCCTCCAAAAAAAAAACTCCTTAGTATATTTTGTCGGCTATCTTGTTTGCGCGATCGCCGCGCGTGGTTTACGCGAATCATGTTACTTTTTTATTATTTATTTGTGTATTTTATTTAGCTTCGCCAATTATACACAATCAAACAACACGTGCACACAACCATTTCTGTCCAACCCCAACTAACGCGCAAACTTCAACGCAATATATATGATTGTAAAATTAAACCTAGGACTGTTTAATTTTACAATCGTACACATTCGTTTTAAATAGCTTGAATTGTATGAGCCCAACATTGGAAAATACGGATAATTGCTTAAAAACTTGTCATGGACCTAGACAAAACTTTTCGAAACGCAGCAAATACGCCGAGCCTCCCACGTTTCAAGGTTGGACAAAAAGGTGACAACAACAAAGAGGCGGGGACACCACAACAGCTTAAAACCAATAACTGTGGGCCCTTGGATACAGAAAACACATAACTAATAAATAAATTGAAACTGATAATTGATAGTGTACATGTACAAAAAGCAGCGCGTTAATGGTTCCACGAGCTTGCGTTCTGGCGTTGTCCACATCATAGGATATCTTGGCAGCGTTGTGATAATAGTACAGCAACAATGTTCTAAATCGTACCAGAGAGAGATATTTTTGCCTTAGACCTTTTGGCAGAGAATTGTAAGTTCTTATTACTCTGATGAAGAAAGAGCGTTGGTATGTCAGCGTCTTACATTTGCGAGGAAGGAACGAGAGCACGTTGGTGTCAACCGAGGTTCTAGTGAGCCTTGGCTGCGGAAGGACTTCATTGGAGACAGTTAAGGTTATAATGTTGTTTACAGCTTTAAAGAAAAACATAATGTCAAGGTACTTGTGCCAGTCGGTGATTGGTAGTAAGTCTAAAGAGATCAGTCTGTCTTTGTACGTTTCTCCGCACACGTATGGTAATTTCAAAATGAACTTTGTAGCTCGTCGCAGGCGCGGATCCAGACTGATGCAACTGATGCGAATGCATCAGTCAAAATTTCACACGAACGAGAATTGTCAACATTTTATTATTAAAAATATATTTAAATATTGGTTGTCTTTGATCCAAAGTCCTTTAAAACAATATATTTTCACAGGAATGAATGTAAACAAAGCTATATTTCGCAAAATATTATGAAAAATGTAAACGCACTTATCAAGTTGTACGATTTTGTGTCGCGACTTTATTTCGCCACATATGTGTGTTTAGTTTGACGCATCCACTATTATTACAGCTCAGTGTATGCATTACTACGTCACGTTGGGGAGAAACGTGCATCAGTGGTGCATCGGTCCCGAGTCTTTTGGCCGAGTTTTCCCAACGACACGTCACGAAAACCATTGTTTTCATGCCTACGTAACGTTGGGAAATGGATGCTGACTGATGCGTTTAGCCCGCGATCAAAATAATGCGCTTTTGACTGATGCATTTCGCCCGCAATCAGAACAGTCAGTGATAAATTTTATGATCGAATTCTTCGAATTGTTATATAATGGCGGGAGTATTAATGGAACATTGTATGTCGCATTGTATGGAAATATTTTACGATCTTTGGTGGTTCACTCAAACTCACTGAGCCTCAAAGCCGTCGAAATTAAAAGGTTTGTCAGCTATTTCAGTAATTTCACAAGGGAATGTTTGGGATCTGTGTACTGTGTTTATAGATGCAGATTTAAACGAGTGAGTCTGTGTGTGACTGTGTGTTGATATTTATAATAAATACTGTAGGTATAGGTATATTTGTCGTAGTATAAATATCACAATTTTACAAAATTTATTATATTTGAACTGTTTTAAATATGTCAACATGAATGATCCTGTTTTGGCTGTTCACATATTAACACTCAATATGCCATTCAGCCATTATATAGTGTGTGTGTGTAGGGGGGGAGGGATGGAGGGTGTCTTAATTTGTTTGAAAATGCAAATTGAATCTAGATGCTTGATAATATTTTGCAGTTCTCCCTGAGATTCTTACAGTCGATCCTGCAACCCTTACTAGCAGCTATATTCCTGGCACCTGCCGGTTACTTGGCCGGTTACTTGTTAGGTGCAGTTTACCCAAAACACTGCTATCTGTATGATTACACACCATGCCTTGGTTGATGCTCACACCCAACATCAATACCAGCACCTAATTAGATCCCTCCCATATCCAAATCCATCCCTGTATGTGCATCATTTTGGAATTGGGAAGCTCTTGAAGCTTCAAAACAATATTTTAAAGGGCAATGTTTGGTGATAGTGAGATTAGTTCAGTTATATATTATCTCTATTGTTCTAGAATGATCACCTAGTACCAGAAGCCATCAATCACACTAAATGGCATTACATGTATCAGGGTTGCCCCTGCCAAGGTGAGGGGAGAGGCACAGGGGGTGACCGGCAAATTATTGTGATGCTGAAAATAAAGGGGATTCACATGTTTAGGAAGGGAATAAATTTAGCTGGGCTCTCTCAAGTTCAGCCCCTTAAATTTGTGATGCTTTTCCTGGTATTGTTCATATGCCTTTAAATTATACCATTCTCATGACCATGGCTCAGCACAAGGTGTTCATTTTAAATGTACCAGTCTAATTAGCAGTTATGGGACCAAATTACTGTTCTGATCATTCTACCATTTATTTTCAATACAACAAAGGGTCATTGCATAGAATACATTAATGTATAAATTGATAAATTATCTCACTTTCATTGATAAGTCAATGTACTAATTGAGTTGATCACAATATACTGCACTTCCACTGTTACTGAAGCTTGTCAATCCTGCTCATTCAATCAGATACCTGCCAAGTCCATAACTGCACTTCTCCCTGTCTATCCTTAATATCTTGAAACAGCAGTTTTGGATACATACAGTAGTCCTAGACACTCTCCTGAATGTACTGTAATTTGGGATTCAATGCAAAATCTGTGGAGATATATTGGTCAATGTATTGTGGATATCCAGACTTCAAATACAGTAGAATAATCTATTTGCTGCAAATAGCTTCAATAATTGTTTATTTTTATTATTAACTGCTCAGCAACAATGAAAACTATTACCTAACACCCTTGAATACTTTGATAATCTTACAGTATTTAAAAATTCAAACTACATTTGTCAAAATGTTGGATATAAATGCACCATAAATATTAGAGTGACTAGCTTCAGAGAGGGCCTTCATATACAGTAGTAAGTTAAAGTTGCCCTGGAATTAATCCTG